CTAAAAGCCAAAGAGGCCAAAACCAGTTAAGCATTATATTAGGTATACGGGGCTTAGACCACGGCTTAGATCGATTTAAATCATATTCAGCGCTAAACTGCATTATTTTTATGAAAACTTTGAAATATCACATATATTGACCAACATAAACGGTTTAAAATCAGCTAGAAAATCAGAAACCATTATATTCTGTGTATTTGGGCTAGGGGAACTATTTATCCATTTTTGGCATTACTAGGAAATATGCTCTCTGAGTCCATTAAGATACCTGACCTATTGACCAATATTCGAGGTGTTTTCAAAGGAAAAGGTGAATTTTGATTTTACGAGGGCTGTGTACATTCGATTATTGATATATTGTTTTTGTTATGCTTATCATGTGCCCGCATTAGGAACCAATTTCGATTAGCAGTTTGACAACAGAAAAGATTAGTCACGTTTTTGTGTGTTCTTCGATTTTTGTTACGAAATTGCAAAATTTTTGGAAAAAGCAATATCGCATTAGTATCGGTCAATAGTTGTTGAATGACGTCAACAACGATCGTGGTTTGCTCTAACTGGTCATAATAGGTGACGAAACGTGGGTATATGGTTATGACGTCGAAATCAAGGCCCTATGCTCCCAATGGAACCTGTCAGATGAGCCAAAACCGAAAAAGGCACGCGAAGTTCGATCAAATGTGAAGGTTTTGCTCACTGGTTTCATTGATTACAATGGTGTGGTGGTTCATGAGTTTCTGCCAAAAAGTCGTACAGTTAATAAGGAATACTACAAGGAGGTTATGTACCTTTGCGCGAAGCAATACGGCTCAAACAATCGAAATTGTGGAAAAACGAATCGTGAATTCTGCATCACGACATTGTGCCAGCTCACACATCAATGCTTATTCGTAATTTTTTGGCCAAAAACAAAACCGTAATTATGCCTCAACCACCCTATTCACCAGATTTAGCTCCCTGCGACTTGTTCCTATTCCCCAAACTGAAGAAAGCAATGAAAGGAAAGCGTTTTGCTACAATTGATGAGATCAAGTCAGAATCGAAGAAAGAGCTGATGGCCATACCTAAAAGCGCATTTCAGAAGTGCGTAGAAAAAACATTGGCATAAATGTATTATATCCGAGGGAGTTTACTATGAAGGGGACAAAATAGATATTGATGAATAAAAAAGTACTTTTCAAATATATTCAAAATTCAACTTTTTCTTTGAACACACCTCGTATAAGGTATAAAGTATAAGAGATCTTTGAAAATCCCTATATTATGTAAATGTGGGCTAGCAGAAGTATAACTGATGTTTTACATTTTCGACAACATCACATATTATTTCCAGAAAACGATCTGTAAATTTCATTTAGTTATCTCACAAATTGACTGATATTTTCGGTAAAACATCAGTAATAGGCACTGAGGTCCATATACTTATCGATAACAACATTGGCTTTCGATTTATATACTGTAAAGTGAAAGAATTATATGTAATTTAAAATTGTAATATATTGGAAGTGGGCGTGGTTGTAGCCCGATTTCACCCATATTCACAACATAACATAAAAAAATCATAATAATATTATGTACAAAATTAGATTAGGTAGTTTCTGTGATATTCGATTTCACGCAAAGATTGGCAGTGCCACGCCCATTCTCCAGTTTTGACTCCGGCTCCCAAACATTTCGTATCATCTCGGTTAAAAAATTGTATGTCTCTGACGCATGGTTATCATCTGATTTAACCCATTTTCACAGTACAGAAAGAAGCTTTCAAAAAACTTCCTCATAGCAAGTTTAGTTGAAATAGTTTAAGGAGTTTCTGAAATATGCTCATTAAACCTCTTAGCGGGCGGTGCCACGCCTACTTTTTAAAAATTTTCAGTCCACATTCCCACAACGATACCTTTTACCAAATAACGGTTTTGGAGCTTTAGAGCTTTTTATATGTTTTCGCTTGATGGCACTTTGTGGGCTTAGCAATGCATGAATTCCGATTTAATTCCCAAAATATAGAATCCTATTTTTATACCCTGAACAGGGTATATTAATTTTGCCACGAAGTTTGTAACACCCAGGAGGAAACGTCGGAGACCATATAAAGTATATATATAAATGATCACCGTGACGAGCTGAATTGATTTAGCCATATCCGTCTGTCTGTCCGTCCGTCCGTCTGTCCGTCTGTATATACGCGAACTAGTCCCTCAGTTTTTGAGATATCGATCTGAAATTTTGAACACTTTTTTTCTCCCCAAGAATCTGCTCATTTGTCGGAACAGCCGATATCGGACCACTATAGCATATAGCTGCCATACAAACTGAACAATCGGAATCAAGTAATTGTATGGGAAACTCTTTCATTTGACGTGGTATCTTCACGAAATTTGTAATTTTAATCTCCGAAGAAATTGTATGGACCGGATGACTATAGCATATAGCTGCCATACAAAATGAAGTGCGGAATGAAGTGCTTGTATGGAAAACTCTTTCATTTGACGAGGTATCTTCACGAAATTTGGCATGTATTATTATTTAAAGCATTAATCTAATCTCCAAAGAAATTGTATGGATCGGATGACTATAGCATATAGCTGCCATATTAACTGAACGATCGGAGTAAAGTGCTGGCATGGAACATTTTTTTATTTGACGAGGTATCTTCACGAAATAAGGCAGATCAGATCACTATATCATATAGCTGCCATACAAATTGAACGTTCGGAATCAAGTTCTTGTAAGGGGCCTTTGTTTTTGTGAAGGGTATTATAGCTTCGGCGCAACCGAAGTTAACGTTTTTTCTTGTTTTAACAAAGTAAAGTCGCCATAGTAAACTCTACTAGGTGCTTGGCCGAGGTTCTCCTACCATATGAGGTTTGTGCCTTGATCTTATCCGTGAAATGGAGCTTATATTATTTATATAGCAAAATATAAGTTTTATTAGTCGATATCTCGCGTTTACACAATTACACAAAAATTAAACATTTTTGAGTTTATACCTTTGTAATATATTTTCTCGCGAAAGTTGATAGGGGTAGAGTTCATGTACTTATCAATATGGTCATATGTGTTTAAGTGACCATATAATAATTATAATAATATCAAAAATATGTGAAAGACTTTTTATATACATATATGTATGTAAGTACATTTCAATGCTTTTATAAACAACTTGTCAGTGCTGTGAAATTGCCATCTTTTGTAAAACTCACATTAATAACAACGTCGTGCAGCGATAATCTTATGTGTTTCAGAATAAAGCGTCCACGTATCTTCTTAAGTACTAATTAACCAAACAACAAGCAGGAAAATTGCTACTTTAGTTGTCAAACTGGCTCAGCGCTGTGGAAATTAATTTTTCAAGTACTAAACTAGTCCACTTTTTTCGAAATACGAAATGGCCGTCAAATTTACGAAAGTTCTACATAAAATATTTTATAAATTACATGTTATATACTATTTTTAATAACTAAACAAAATTACTAAACTAGGTTGCTCAGTTTAGTAATTTTGGAAAAGTGCTTGCTTTCTACTTAAAGAAGGTTAATCATAGGTAGGTCATTTCTTCATAGTTACAAATTATAACAGTTAACTAGATTCACTTACAAGAAAGTTGATGGTCTTTTACAAAAAATGTTTTTAGATTCAATTAAAACGAGTTTTTGCCCTGAAGACTATTGTGTTTTGTAGATTCTAAAACTGATGAGGCTTGCGATACAGATATCAGCTTAACCGCTGCAGGTGAATAAAAATTAAATGTGATCAAATGTTTACCTTTATTAAATATGGCTAATAATTTGACCAGAATGATTAATTTTCTAATATATCTAAGTATATGTTTTATCAATATTGAGATTTTTAGTTCTTCTGAAAATATGTAGATCTTCTAAGTATGGACATGAGAATAAACTGGATCGAACAGGATAAAAAATGTTGTTGTTTAAGATCTCTACCGTTATATATGTTATTTCTTCGAGTGGTGGTGTAGGTGTTTCGCTTTTATACCATATACACATCATTTATTATCTTTATTGGATAGATGTAAGCATAGTTCAAGGTTAATTTTCGAACACAACTTCAAATAATGTAAATGAAATTTTAACAATTTTAAATTGTATATTCTGAGATTTGTTGTTAACACATGATCATTTAACGCACCGAGACATATTTTTAATTTCTTCTTACAGTATGCGGCGATTGTTTTGCTTTGTTTAAGTGGCCTTTTTGACTTTCAACATTATGATAATGCCACGTGCTGTAAGCCAGTAAATTGCCACTGTTCAGCCTTAATTTGTTCAGACAAAAACAATAATACATACGAGTATGGGTGCGTTCGATATGGCAATCACGACAGCAGTGTTGCAAATTTGTCAATGTATCACATTCTGCGTGAATTTTTGGCAACACTTGCAACAGCATCACGTTCTACTGTCACTTTTTGTATCAGAGTATCAGCAAATATGCAACACAGTAACTGTACTGCTGCAATTATTACGTAGCTCGAACGCACTCTATATGTATGCATAATATCGGCGCACTTATCAGTTTCTTTATTTAACACTTCCTCAGTAACAGTGGAGCTGCGTACTTATGTTATGTACATACATATGTATGTATATAAAGACTTAGAGAAATTTGTGCATAAATGAAATCAATTTATTTTTATGTGCGAGTATTGCATGTTAAATCAATTGGAATTCCAGTGTTGGCGAAAACAATAAAACTTCATTGTACGCCGTTAACATGTCCAGGTGAGTTTCGAAGCACTTAAGTAAGTGTGTTTTATGTCAGGCCATTTTGAGATGAGTTTTGTTTAGAAAAATACAAAAAAATTCATACTTAGGTACATATGTCTGTTTGTATAGTGTGTTTATATACATAAATATGTAGAAGTGTGTATTTATGTAACTATTTTAGTCATTGATCGAACCGGAAAAGCATTGAAATGCAATGAAAATTGAAATAGAAATTCAATTAAATAAAAATGAGCAAAAACAAATCAAAGATTTTTTAGTTCCTATACTCAAGGAATTTTAATGCTCTTTATAAATTATTTATCCATTAGTTGTTGCATTTATTCATTTAATGTAATGTAAATAAATTTCTTATGTGCGAATATACTTATGATGAAATGTATATATTCGTAGATATAATTATAAATTACATGATATGTATGACTTTCCTGGTATCAGGCGATACGTCGAGATGAAATTTTAGTTGCATTCTCCACTGAGCGTCTATTTTGGGCGGAAATTGTAAGCGGCAGAGTGATTTTGATTTATTTCAATTCAATTGAATGCCGTTATTCGAGTTTTGTTGCTTGCGTTACGGCTTCTGTTGCTGTGCCGGCACATTCATTGTAAATTCATCCATTTTTTGTGCAGTGCAACGCCAAAAAGTTTGCTATATCCGCGCTTGGCATCCGCTGCTCTATACAATACGTAATTCCATGAGAGTTTTATGGCATTTTCCAGCTATTTTGCGCATGGTACATCGCATTTTAAAGGGTGTCTGACTACGGTCTAATTTAAAATTATTTATATTTCTCAATTGTTGTAAAAATTAATTTAGAATTAATCATTTTAACAATTTTGACGTATCGTCCATTGCTGCCCATTATTTCATTCACCATACTTAGTTGTATTCAGGGGCAAATATAACATTTTAGCAAGATTATGAGTGTATAGTATCCATTCTAAAGCAGTGCTATCGCAAAACTTTCATGTATTTGAATATGTACATCCCCCAAGTATATGTAAGTCTTACGATCTTTGGGTCTACCCAGATTTTTTATTATTTTCAGAATAGAACTTAAAGAAAGATATGAACCCATATTGAAATCCACAAATTTTGAAACTCCCTATATGCAATAACATAATTTTATAGAGATGTTTACCCACGTTTGAGTTAAGTTGCAGTTGCAATGCTGGATAGTGCAACAACCGTGGTAAAGTACTAGTATTCGTAGTTGCAACAGCAACAATTGCTATCACTTTATTTCGAACTACGCTTTTGTGCAAAGTTCATTGGCTTCCCGGCGTGAACTGTGTGACGGTGAGTTGGGTGGCACCATAACAAGCAACATTGCACATAAAAGTTGTTTGATGAACGAAATAACGTAATAAGCTAAAGTGCATTCAATTTTGAAGTTTGGTGTGCTGCAAGTGAAATGTGAACAGTTTTTGTTAATTTTTATACCATGAAAAGGATATATTAAGTTGGCCTGAAGTTTGTAACACACAGAACGAATCGTCGGAGACCGTATGAAGCATAGACATACAAGTATATAAATGATCAACGTGATGGTCTCAGTCAATTTAGCTGTCTGCCTGTCTGTATATACGCGAACTAGTCCTTTAACTTTTGAGACATCGATCTGAAACTGCTTATTTGTCGGAACCTACAGCATATGATATGGAACCACTATAACATATAGCTGCCATACAAACTAATCAATCAAAATCAAGTTTTTATTTGACGAGATATATCACGAAGTTTGGCGTGGATTATTGTCCAAAGCAATGGTACAATCTCTGAAAAAGGATATTATAGCTTCGGCGCAACCGAAATCAACTTGTTTTCTTTTTATATTTTCCTTTTTGTCCGCTCACCCTTAACTTTAAAAAGTTAGTTTTCCAATCGAGTTTATTAAATTTTGTACAAAATGCAAATTGCAAGTTAATATTGTAGTTTGACAGCTATTAAAATCAAAAGCCAAATTTGATGATTATTCCGATATTTTAATTTTTCTGTCCATTATTTTGAGTTTTTAAATACTTTGATTTTATAAATTAAAATTTTGCTAATATATTCGCTTTATATTTTTTTATCTTCAATTAATTTCTTCTTGCAACACAATTTTTATCACAACTGGTAAACACTTCAATTAAAATAAAATTAAAAATGCATGGTTGTTTCGGAAACTCTCACACATTTTCACCGTCCATTTTTACTTTTCACACCGGCAACTATTTACATACCTGTCATCATTATTCGTAATAACAATATCTCATCCATATAACGGACACTTTCAATTGCATGATTTTTTCACACTCGTGGTAATCAATTAAATTTATTAGTAGGTTAGGTAGGCACTCATGCCAGTCTGCCTCTGTTTACCTTTTTATTATATTTTTTGCTAAATAGCGTAGTACGAGTATCTGTAAAATTATTGCTTTGTGGCGAATGCAAATAAATTGAGTGAATATTTGATGGATGGATTATTGAATTTTAACTTAAATAATTGTAGAGAATATCCTTGAAGTGACGCACACATGGATATGCATATTAAAATTATTTATTATTCGTGCAGTTATGTTCATCATGCGAAAAAGTATAAAGTAGGGAAATATATAACGGAAGAGTGTATAGTGATGAATTAAATATACATCACTTATTGATGATTGTGTCGTAATTTCTGCATTAAATAAATTATGTGTACGTTCAAAAGTTATAATAATAGATATAGTGAGGTGTGTAGGGTATTGTAACATCGACTGAAAAAAATATGTACATATTCAATTATTGAAATGCTAATGAAAGTTCGATTCAGCAGTATAAATTTAAAAGATTTGAATAATTTAAAGAATAGATGGTTATGCGTTAATGTTTTATTATCTTCTTTTAATTATTTTTTCCATATTTTATATATATTTTATTTTTCAATTTAAGATTTCGTTCATAGCAGTTCAATGGCACTAATTCCTTAAGCAACTATTGTGAATATGCAATCATGGCGATGAAATGAAACATTTGACACAAATAATGTAATTGTTAGTTAGCCGAGTCTGTTTAACTGTCGTGAACTTCGTACGTTCGCTTACTCGTGGTGTCGCGTGTTCGAATCTCGCTGCGGACGTCTGAGCTCTCAATTTGAATTTTACTTAATTAAATTGGACATTTCTCCTTTTCGCTTCTGTTCAGTATTTCCCCATTGCCTTTGCCCGTATTGCTGTACCAACGGAAAGTTGCTGCTTCAAATGCGTTTTCCATTACACAACGGGGCTATAGAAAATATTCCTTATCACTCCACGGGGTCTCTGCGCATTACAAAGCTGTAGACCTCACTAACCCGGGAATGACAATTTTTTGTCAATATTTTATGTTGGTTGTTTACTTTTATTTTTTTGTAAAACAATTTATACTTCATTTTTATTATAATGATTTTTATTTCTTATGACTAACAACAAATTCAAGCGAACTAAAATATTAAAATAAGTTAATTGAAATATTTAAAATTTAGTTTGTGAATTATTGTGTGAAAAATATTAATTGCTACATTGGCACTTAAACTCATAATATATAACAAATTTTCAAAAAGCGAATACGCCAAAAAGGATATAAAGAGGCAGTCGATTTTTTCTTAATGATTATGTGTTGTAGGCAGGGTTGCAAATAATTCATTATATTAAGACAATGAATTACCGAAAATCTTAATTGAAATTTTTTTTTTAATTTTCATCTTAAATGTCTGTGCGAAAAGAAAAAAAATTTAATCCCAAGTTTATAATTTATATAATATTTAAAAACAAACAAAAAATGTTTACTTTCGCATTCTACCATTTTGGTTATCTTATTAAAAGGAAATCTTTCAATAAATTATCAGCATACATAGTTTAGCTCTTTTTGCCTTATGGATAAAAAAATATTTTATCAATTTCTAACCCAATATGTTTGGGATTAAAAATAAAATTTTCATCAATTTTCCATTTTTTATTATAAAATTAATATGTCTCAAACATCTTAAATTTAAAAATTTAATTTTTAACCAAAAAAAAATTAATTTTGAATCAAAAAATTAAAAAAAAATCGCAAGGTATAGTTTGGTGAGTGTGAACGAGACATATTGCACAAAATACATGCACATAAAAATTATTACAAAAAATTATGAATAACAATTCAATCGTTTAACGGCGCTGGTATATATGTATGTATGTTTGAACCTTTTATGTGTAATTGTTTTCAATTGTTATTAAAAAGCGATCTTCAGTAAATTACTAAGTACATTCGGTGTAACAAATTCGCTTAAAGTTATTTAATTTTTAATTTTTAGTAATTAAAAACTAAAGCAAATTTATTACATTATTATTATTAAGACAGGAAGTTCAACTAAGTTATTAAATGAGATAGATTCAAATAAATAACAGAAATATAGTATAATATTATATAAAATAGAGAAATCAATAATACAAAAAGTAATTCACTGTAAAAAATACTAACTATTCTGAAAATTTAAATAATAAGCAATCAATATAAGCTTTACTAAATAATTAAAAAATAATGCCTAAAAACTAAAACAATTGCAATACTAAAAAAAGGTTAAATCCACACCACTTATAGATATATAATATTTTTTTAAATTCACATAAATTTTCCCACTGCAATTGTAAAATTTTTATTAAATTACTTTATTTACTAAAATGCACTAAACCATTTTCAAACTGAAACAATACTGAGAACGTATTTAAATGTTCGTTAAGAATAATTTTTATTTTATTTATTTGCCTGAGAACTTTAACCCACTTTGAATTTAACCTCAAAAACGAATTTGTTTCGTTTGTTGTGTGTGCCACTCAGTGCTATTAATTTACACACTGCCTTTGTGTAGCTCCAACACCACTTATTTGAATTATAGTTCTCAGTTTGTTTGTTGCGATCACGTTTATTTGATTAAATTGTTTCTGAACTGTTTAAATGGTTCTCTAAATAAATCATGAAAAAACACTGACCTACTTTTGTTAAATGCATCAACTATTGCTGCGCTAACAGGAGTCGGTCAGTTTATTGGCTTTATTTTCACCCATCCTGTTCTTTATGATAAACTAAATTTATTTTATTTTGTTGACGTGTTAAGATTGATGACGATTGTTAGGCTAGTTTTTTTTAATTGTATACACATTTTGTTCGTTTCGATTCGTTTAGGGTGATTAGGGAAGTGGTGCGTTTTGCTTGATTGGTTTTGTTATAATTGACTTTGAACTATACTTTACGGTTTTCTTTCGTTAGTTTTGGGGCATTTCAATTTTTCTATACAAAAATTTAGATTCTTAATTTCTGAGCAGTTTCTGAAGTTTTCTCTCTGTCACTAAAACACTCTTTATGTTGGGAATTGCAGGTGAAGGGTGAGTTTTATGATACTAGATTTCGTCTTGGTTAGGTTTCGAACCCATCTACCACAAAGCGGTTAGTCACATTGCATAAACTCTTCCTATTGTCCTAAACTGGATATGTGATATTTTTCAAATGTAAACATGCAGATTAGTTTAGTTGTGTATGTATTTGATCCACTTTCATTTGTCAATTTATTTGATATTTAGCATTAACTAATATAATATATATCTTTATCGTATATAATTTAAATGTATTTGTATTCGTTTAAGTATTTTTGCACATATTTTGTTTGACAAGGTTTTTTTGTAGCTCCCATTGCTTTGCCTTCTTCACAATATCAACTCCGTCTCCTTTTTCATGTACATGCTTTGTATATGTTGATGTGTAAGCGTGACTTTTGACTGGCTTAGTTAATATTTAACTTACAATTACTACAGTAAAAACAAATATTAAACAATTAATGTCTTTGGGCGAGCCAACAAAAAAGTGATAATAATAATATTAAACGACAAACAACAGACAAATGAATGAACGACGAAAGTTTTGCTGCATGTATGTGTGTGTGTTTGCAATGGTAGTAGTAGATGTAGTAGTAGTTACAATAGTGTTTGCTGCTAGTCTGCTGGTCTAGTCTGTCCTCTCCGACAGTTCTTCTAACGCTAACTTGTCACATTATTTATCCACTCCAAACAATTTTAGACAAATTCATAGCCAATGCCAAATTGGAAACCATTCACTGGTTTGTCGCTCGCATATTTGCGTACCGGTATGCAATAATTCATTTCAATGCGTGCTCGTTCGGCTAATTTAAATGCTAGGCCAACACCAAAAGCGCTGCGCATGTTTTCTAGAAAAGTGAAGAACGAAAAAAAAACATACTTTAAAAAACATTCATACATACATACTTATAAACATTTTATTGGTATATATATTTATATTGTATTAGTAAATTACATATCTATAGATAAAAAAAAGTGGCATAATAGAAAAAAAAAAAGCCTGTAAAAATGTTTTCTTCTTTCAGTAACAAACTTTTGGTTTAAATTAAATATAATTTCTTTTTTTTTTCTATTTTCATAACTTTTTGAGAAGAAAGAAATAAAAAAGCAGCACAAAAATAAATAGTTTTTTATTAATTTTATTAAAAAAATTTTATAAGTTTCAGTATTGCTTAAGCAAGAACAAAAAATATTTATTTAATATCATTTTATTTTTTATTTTGTTGATTTTTTACATATATGACAAAAACGACTTTTAATAGCTTCAAATCGAATATCAATAGACCCGATGGTAGGGGGAAAGGTTTATAGCTTGGGGAACTCTGTGCAATTGTACCAGGGTAGACCCCAGCTTAACATGAGCACTCCTACTTTTAAAACTGATAAAAGCTTCCCTCTTTCCACTAGTAAAATAGCATTCGGAATGACAATTTTTAGAACTGATTTTTGGTTGTCGTTAATATATGGCAGTTACCGTTATTACCTGTGCTTTTTCTTTTTTATAACCGTTTTAAGCAAAGTAATTTTCTATAATTTATTAATTACTCTCTTTACCCTCTTAACCAAATTCATACACATATTAATCAAGTCAGTTTATAAGTTTCGTAGCTTATATATTGAGCTCAGTTAGCACTGCATTATTAATTCAAGGGGCAATTTCTAAATTATATCTTTTATATTACTAAAATTTTTAGCATTTCGAATGCTAGTCGAATGACGGAGGGAATACTGTTGAGTTTTACAAGTATCAATGCAAGTAAAAAAAAAATTAACCCATCCCTCTTTAAAATATTGTGTTAATTCGGTACACCGAATGCTTTGAGTTAAGTTGAAAGGCGTATTATTTTGAAAAGTATTACATAGTTAAGATTGTGAAGGATTTTTCCACAGAAAATGTCAAGCCCAGAATAGGGCCCAGAAGAACAATAATTAAAATAATGATTAAAAGCTAAAACTAATAATTTGTAAACTAAAAAAAAAAAAACTAAACCAAGACAATGTTTAAAACTTAATTTTCAAAATAAAAAAAGATTTTTATTTAAAGTTAAAATAATTTTTTTCTACCGAAAATGAAATCTTTATAAAAATGGTTCTCATATCTCTATATGTTATATGCTAAAAAAAAAACTTTTTTTTATCATACCTGTTGAAAATGAGTTGAAGCCTCCACAATTGTAGAATAAATGAGTACGGAAATTGTTAGCCAATCCCTTGAATACGTGACTGAACGGCAAAGGGCCCCACAAGTGAAGACCAGTGCACCAGTGAGTCTGGCAGAAATAAAAATAAAGTATGTTAAATACTAAAACATAAATAGCAACTAATGAAAATCTCACTTGCGCACCGATGGATGTGCCCTCCACCACTGGACCAGCGCCACCATACTTGAATCCTCTAAGCGTCAGTGGACCACCACAGTAGAATAGACGACTGATAGGTAGTACTGTTGTGTTTTTAGTTTCCTTAATTACACCAATGCGACCACAAACTTGTGCCACAAGTCCGGCAACCAATGGTACACTTATTTCACCATGCGTAGTGCTGCTCATGTAAGCAACATTGCCACCCAAACCACAATATTCGTTGACCGATTTTAACATTAGGCCTTGTGTGGGAAATACGGGATTATCACGCTGATCATAAATTACAGAATAACGCACCAGTGATGCCAATTTGGGGCCACAATGTTCACGTATTTTAAATGGAACTTGTTTCGCCAGTAGTGACATTTCGCGTATAGACGCTTCATACTGTATGGAGTGGGTAAGCTGTTGACAAAACCAAAGTCATTAGTATGCAAAGTATTTTAAGTAGAATAGAATAGAATGAATATGAGGTTTGCACTGCGACCCAAGGTCTATTGTGCCCTCTCCTCTATCACATGCATTCCCAAAGTCCCAGCACCCTGGAGAACTCCAACAACTTGCTAAGTGCTATTGAGGCAATGTGATCCCTGTTCACATAAATGGAACCGAGGGCCTTGAGCCTGCGTCTACAAATTGCGGTGCAATCTAGAATCAGGTGTTCTGGTGTTTCCGTCCCATGTCGCAGAATCGGCAGTTGCCACAAGAAGACATGCCCATGTTTGACAGGTGTTTCTTGAGCCTACAGTGCCCAGTGTAGAGTGCGAAAAGGAGTCGGAGTTTGTCTCTGGGGAGGTTTATCATTGTTCTGAGCCTGGCTAGGTTGAACCCTCCCAGTAGCAGTTTAGCATGATGCATCCCTGCTGCCTGTTGCCAGTGACTGTATTTTAAGTAGGTGTACACTTACCTCAAAGGGATAGAGCGAGTTAACTGAGAAATCTGTCATAAAACCCAAATTGGCATTTTGAAACGAGCTAATATCCATTCGATCCACGTTTCGGAAGAGTGAAAGTGATATTCTGTGTTGCATAAATGTGAAAAACAATTCAAATTTAGCGGTATATTAAGAAGATTGAATATTCTTAAACTCACTCTGGCCGATTTTCCACGAAGGGCGTATGAAAGAATGACTTCCAGAACCGCAGTTGCAATTCGTTGGCGCGTGTTGTTGCGTAGGAGCCTTGCAGTGAAACACTTTCACCGCGCCCAAACAAATTTGGTATGCTTAATTCGGTGCGCAGGGAACCTTCATTTTGGCCCACTTCAGTGCCTACCGAGCCAACAAGGCGCGACAATTCTTGACCCTTCAGCGTAATCTCATAGCCATTGGGTGAGGCGTTCTCGCCCTTGCTTACGTCAACGCGCACCTGTACATCTTTGAAAATGCCTAATTCATGGAGGTAGGACTTGGCGCTGTAAACAATTATTGAAAGAGAAAATTAATTGATTTTTAATGAAAAATAAAATACTTAAAAATTTGATATGTAATTACTTCATTGACTCAATCATGAGGTCTTGAAAATTGCGCGCTTTAAACAGTCCTTCGGCTGCCTTCATAACGTAGTCATTGTGTGTGCGCAGCAAACCGCTGACATTTACACGTTCCACGTGTGCCTGGCATGCGTGACAGTGTTAATTAGGTTTACACAATAATGACATATTGTACATATGTAATTCATATCATAATTACTCACTGGTATTTTGGATAAATCCACCTTTGCCTGCTCTTTCACAGTACGCGTGGGTCTCGGCATTTTGCTGCTGATTTATGTGCACTTGAAAGCTGATTTTATTGTAGCTGCGATAACTTCGACGACTGCAAGGAAATAAAAAAATATGTTTATTAAAAATAAAATTTTAATAGAAAACATAAGTTAAGAAGAAATCGTTATATGTGTATTGAATGGAAGCAGAGACTTAAATATTAAAAATAAAGTTTAGCTCTACTAAAACATGTTTGAAAAATTAATAAAAATTTAAATGATTTGACAGTTCTTTAGGCCATGGGAAATGTTGATCAAATTCGAAAAACCTAACATTTATGTATTTGTCATATATTTTTACATCTATTGTATATATGTATTAAAAGAATACAACATCAAGATTCTTAAAATTTACTTGAAATTTTAATAAAATTTCTTTTTTAATTGCAGATCGAATTGGAGAATCTCAATAGTGCAACAGATGAGATTAATAAACTCGAAATTGAATTAGAGGTAAATATATTGGAGACACAATGCCCATAGCATCCAAGAGAATATAAACATTTTTCATTCATTTTATTTCAGGAAGCTAATTCCACATTCCGCATTCTGTTAAATGAATCTACAAGACGACTAAAACTATCATCAAAAAAGTTGGGAAGCTGCATTGAGAAGGCACGACCATACTATGAGGCATTGGAAAAAGCGCGTGAGTCGCAAATTGAGTGTCAGAAGGCGGCAGTGAAATTTCAACGCGCCAATGGTTAGTTTAAACGCTGAAAGCTGATAAATTAAAATAAAGTAGAGCCAAAAGAAAAAAATTTAAAAGAGCAAACTAGAATTTTGTTATATTTTATTGTTTGCATATCATATAAATGATTTTTCCTCAAAAATGAATTCTTTACCAATAACCATAAATTTGTAATTTTCACAGAAATTCACGCTGCTGCTAAGGAAACTGTAGCCTTAGCCGAACAACGTTTTATGTCCAATTCACACGAGTGGCAATTCGACAATGCCTGGCAGGAAATGTTGAATCATGCCACACAAAAGGTAATGGATGCGGAAAAGCAAAAGGCAGAATGTCATGCGGAACATCAACAACTCACTAAGGTCTTCAACACAGCAGAACAAACGGTGAGCAAATTATAAAAAAAAAAAATTTAAAAAAACCAATTACTAAATAAATTCTACTACCCTCAGGTTCAACAACTGGAAGAACGTTTCCGTCGCAGCATCACTAAATCACGGCCGTACTTCGAAGAGAAGCAAATTTGCCAAGATCAGCTGCATACACAAAAGAATCGCATACAGGAACTACAACAGCAGGTACAAACAGCAAAGAACACCTACGCCACAGCGCTACGCAATCTTGAACGCATCAGCGAAGACATACATCGTCAGCGTGGCGATTTTCAACAAATGGGCGCACCACCACCGGGTCCACGTGAACCGGGCGTCGGTGCCGAACTAAATTCGCCTACAACGACCACGCTGCCACCGTTGCCCGACTTCCAATTAGAGTTGGAGAAGTGTGATTATCCATCAATTGCCGGCAGTCAATTATCGCTGAGTGGCAATTCGCATCGTTCCAGCGATTTAGCGAGTGTCAGCACTCAACCTGCCTCCATGAGCCACAGTGTGGGTGATGAATCCGAAACCGAGGAATGTGAAGCCGACTATGCGGATAGTACTGAATTGAATGGTGTTGTAGATGAACGTGATCTCGAAGAACTGCGCCAGAAGGTGAAAATACTCGCAGTACGCCCTATCGAGGGGGGCGATGGTGAGCAACAGCGCAATGATATGTGGGAGCATGAACTAACCGCCACCGTCAACAAGTTGGATCAATTAATGCTAATGAATGAATGTGCATTGAAGCAACAGAAGCAGCTCAAAATGAAACAACAACAGCAGCAACAAAAACAACCTGAACGGCAAGTGACTGGCGCCGGTGTACGTCCCGATTCTTTGGGCGCGGAGGCACCAGCACAAATGTACGATATTGTACACGCCAAACCGGTAGCAGTGGTTGAGAAAATCGACGAAGATGACGTTGATGTAGTTGTAGTGACGGGCAAGGCAGGACCGCTCGTGCAAATCACACACGCCAAGTCGGCTAAACAGGAAGTCGATGCTGGCGTGGTCAGTTATCCAGCTACGCCCGAACACACTGTACAACCGTTAAAGAAATTGCAACAGAAATTGGGTCCTTTGCCAACGGTTAATGTTTCCATGCGTGAATTACCACTATTAGCACGACTCTCCAACGAAATACTTGATCGTACTGCTAACTACAACAGAGGCCGTCAGTTGCGGCGACGTTCGCTAGACTAAAGGGCTGCGGCCAGCCAGTTGCGGTGACTTTTGGGTAATTTTTTAGCGAGCATTAGTTAGCTATAAGCGGGGAGCTAAATATGTGTTACATGAGTATTGCTTAAAATGCATACATACATACATAACTACTAAATACCTATTCATAGGGATATTTTATAAGATTAGATCTAATAAATATATTTGTGAAAGTAATTATTTTTGTGCAAAAGAAAAAGAAACCATTCGCAGTTGAAATTGTTTACAAAGTACAATTTTAATTTTTGCAAAATCAAAGTAATATTTATTTCAAATAATTGTAAAAGTAAATAAATATTGATATTATTGTATAATTAATTGTTTATGTAGGGTAAATTAAATAAAATGAAAGTGCAAATCTCCAATTATCAATACATTAATAGAAATAAAAAACTAGAAATCGCTATATCATAGAATACTACTTTCAATTTTAAAAGAGCGAATTTTAAACCACTGTGAATATTCCAATTAGGGTAAAAACCGCAAATACACATTTCCAAAAAAGGGTGTGCTAAAAAGCATTTGAATTGAGCAAAATCGTGAAAGACGTACTGTCTGCAGATTCTGAATTTATGAATAACTATAAATTAAAATAAGTTCTAAGCCGAAGTAAATAAAAGAAAAACTTAAGAAAAAATATACGATTTTTGGTTTTTATGAAGATTTTTATCGAATCCAGTGAACAGGAAAATTAATAAACTTACTGGAAGATAATTTAGTAGATCACTTTAATCTTCAATAAAAAATATGTGAAAGGAATTCCTGGGTATATAGTAAAATTAGCCAAAGAGATGCACAAATATTCTATGCGAAATTCAACAACTTTTCCGAAATTCTCGTTAATATCGTTAGAATAACAAAAATATGGACATTTAGCAAGCCACTTTTAGAAATTGGTTTCTATGGCCAACATTTGTTAATAGAAAAATTCTGTGTTAAAAAGCTTCCACTGCATATAAAAATTATCTCAAAACAGGATATATACTGCAAGAAAACTTCCTAAAATACATATATGTATTTAAAAAATTTTAATGAAATTCTAATATGATAATTTATATATAATATTATGAACATAATAACGAACTCGAATATACTATAGGAAATTAGTATGAAATACATCTATTTATTTTATTAAAACACGGCTTGCAAAAAATAATGTGTCAAATGGTAGGAATATATAATATAAAAGGATAGTAAATGTGATACTTATTACTAATTATTTCATATATTAGATATTTTATTTACGATCACATCATTTTCATATATAAGCAATGGTCAAAAATAAAGTTAACACAAATAAATACAAAAAGATTTTGTTTCATAACTCATAAACCAAAACTGTGTGTAAGTATGTAAATATGAGGGAACATTCATATTTTAAATGCGGCTAATCTTATGACATCATACTTTTTTCTAGTGGCCTTGATTAATAAAATCACTTTTAATGAGAAATAAAGAGTTTTACTGCGAGGTAAAGAGGATTTTTTGATTATTAAACACATATTTATGGATAGGTATGAGTAGTAATACGGTGCCTAGCTTTTTAATAATGTTGAAGTAAGTCATCAGGCTGTTGCCGTAAACGTTGATGATTTGAAAGTGAGTTTTTGCGTCTTTTAATCAAATTTTTAAACAGCAATCTGTGCTTTACTAATACGATCAGTGATGCATTAAGATATTAATTTATGCTCAAACAACACATTAATTCATTAATTCCAAACTTATATAACCTTAATTTTATGCTGCATTTACCTTAAATGTTGAACACCCCAGCTGTTTGTCACACACCTCCGACACTTTGTTTATACAATGCTGTTTATATGCTACACTCTTTTTTTCTTTAAATTAACCACTTCTTTTTTCATTGGCGCTTATGGGCAAAATTTGTAAAAATCCACATTACAATCAAAAAAAAATGCAAAACACACACGAGAGATAAAATTCGGCAAACTATCAAACGACAATAGCTGTCAGATGAAAACATTTAACAGACAGCTGACACACAGGAATACCCAAATGTAAAAGATAAGTGGTAAAATTTTGGAAAGATGCATTGATATTTCTAGGAATTACAGTATAAGTGTGAATTTTGTGAGTAGTTTAGGTAAAAAAATCCGAATTGTAGTCAGATAATCTTTTGTTATATACTGACTTCATAAAAAATATCAAATAGTTCTTATCACAATACTAACAAAGTGGCACCTCTCACTAGCTTAAAAAATAAAACATCACCACCCGCCAACCTTTATAACAGCTGTTCTAGTTCTATAAGCTCAGCCAAAAACACATTGGCGTAGATATACGTAACCGTTGCATTTCATACAAATGGCACTTTCACATGCCCGCAAAGAGGAGATTCCTAAAGATGCTGTTATTATTAATGAGGAGCAAGCACTAACTTACCAGTGGAGTGTTATTTCGGGTTGGGAAAATCGCTTGGATGTGTGGAGCTTACGATATGGACCCGGCATACTAGGAGCTTTGGCAGCGGCTACAGGCATTTACGTAAACAATCACTACCGTCGGAAATTGAAACTAGGCAATTATGGCAAGGCATCTAGCTACCTGCCAATTGTCGTCATACCTGCCATGTTTTCGGTGCTGTCACACAAATTTATGGTGCAACGATATGCAATATTGGGTCAACGTAACGATTGTCCACTTTGCTTGCAATTACGTGCAGGTACCTTACAGGGTGGTTTAGGTGTTTGCTACCCAACATTATTGGCCCCTTTCGCAGCTTTCATGTTTGCTACACGTCACTACACATATCGTTTGCCATCCATAACGAAGGAGCCACTAGAAGTGTTTAAACTATGGCAGGGCATGACGCGACCTATACTGCCGGTACTGGGAGCGGCGTTAGCTGGGCAAGCAATTGTGGCTATGTATATAACATATAAAGAACAGATGCAAAATTGGCGATTACAGTTAAAAATGCAGCATTTAGAACAGTTAGCAGAGGAGAGGCAACAGGAGGCGTTGGCGGCAGCAAAGAATTTTTAACTGCGTTGTTAAATTCATTTAAATTGCTTACATACATATGTATATACTTAAATGCATATGCAGCGTTGTTGCATATAAAGAAAATAGAAAATATGCGTTAAAACGAACAATTTTACTGCTTATTGTGTGAGTTTTCCAGATTAATTACTAGTCAATAATTCGTTTTAGGTAGAAACAATGAGCTATATAGTGATGCACCAAAACATCAATATATTTATTTGTTAAAACGTTAGTACAAATGTATACTGCGATTTAGTAATCGCTTAGTAATGTATCTTATACACTCAACTTGTTTTACCACTCAAATAAGTTAGAGTGAACTATTTGACAATTAAAAATGAATTTTCTCCTTATTAGTACCTTAATTCACGTATTTTATATATAATTTATTGTATTTTCAACAAATTGAGCTAACCAAATGTGCTTAGTTAAAAAGTAATTGGATGTTTGGATTCCCAATTTATTTCTCACACAAATAAAAGCAATACTTTTATTCTTACAGAAATTAAAGCGTCGGTAATTAATTCTTTCAAACTTTGTCATAGTCTCAAAAATCGGTTAGGAATTCAGAAATATTACCAAGTACAATACAATTAATTTAAATGTCTTTCAACCTCACATTTTGAACTGAATAGTTTTTATTAAGAACACAAACAGTTACATTTCGTTCCCATGACAGTCGGGTCTACGTAACCGATACGGAGTCGGATTTTTATTCGGTTAAGGACTGTCAACTCGGCAGAATTCTGCCCCTACAACAACAACAACAGAGTTACATTCCAAGTATTTCAAACCAAATTTTTTTTAGGAATGTACAGTTTTAAATATTTTGGTGATTTGAAATGTTTGTTTCAACACTTTAAAGTTAATAAATGATTCATTTTGTAATATTAGAATAACTATTGATTATTTTTTAATATATAACATATGTATGTAGAGTATATATTGATGCTAGTCACTGCATGGTGTAAAGGATCCTCATTCCTATATATTTGTAAATCTAGTTTTTATTACGATTTTTGATTTTCAATATAATAATATTCAATTAGTTATTATATGTGCATATGTTTAAGAAGGAGGTATGTATATATAATTAATATACTAAATATGTATATATGTATAGATAAATGTATAACTATAAATACCTGAAACACACATTTATTACTATCAGCTTCAATAACAGTATTTTCATACATTTTTTATCGAATAAATATTGCAATCACCACAGGCAAAATCTGCTGTAGTTGAAAATGAAATAAACTTAATTTTCTAACCACCATTCATTTAAATATATAGCATGTAGAATTTTAAGTTAATTACAAATATACATACATTTACAATCTCTACAATATACAATTTCAATGAATAAATAAAAAAATGTAACGGTGTACAATATAATTAACAATTAACTAGTGTAACATTGGCTAATAATACAACACATCAATAAACTTCTTTTGTTTTAGTGAGTAAGTTAAAGTAAATATTTACGTTTACATTATACATACTACGCAAGTGCTTAATGAACTGTATTGTTATATGTACGATTTTGATACTAATGTATATAGGGTGCCGCTAAATCACTGCACAATTCGCCAACATTATAAATAATATAAATCGCATACATTGCATTATTTGTCGCACTCAATCGAAGGTCAGTGGTATTGAGGTAAACGGAAGTACGGGACATGTAGGCTCCAACTGCAATGCAGTCGCCATACAATCAGCAGAGGCAGTGTAATCTCCTAGTGTCTCCATAACTTTGCCTAAACTGTACCTGGTAGAGTAGATAAAACATTAAAAATTTTAATTAATAAAATTTATATTACTTTATCTTATTTTATACCATATTTTTGGACAGTTGGGATCCAAGCGCGCTGCATCCTTCAGCATTTTCTCCGCCAGGCGTGGTTCTCCAAGCACATGATGTGTTTCGCCGAGCGCGCGCAATGCCTCTGTGTGGTTTGGATTGGCTGAAACGGCGTTAAGGAAACACTGTTTTGCATCGTTCCACTGCTCTAGATATAAGTAAATTTGACCGCGCTGCAAACAAAAGGGGGAGGATAATTAATGTTTTTTTAAGAATAACAAATAAATGCAATTGCAAGATTTCAAAGTTTTTAAATTTTGCCAAAACATTAAATAATTTAAAATTGTACTAAGTTTCATTCTGTCACAACTGTTTCTTTCACAATAGTAAACAAAATATTTATGAGGTTAAGTTAATAATGCATCTTACCATAAACATAATTTGATGTGAGAGCGGATAAATTTGCGATGCCTCTTGTATGCAATTCAATGCCTCATGTGGCTGTTCGATGTTTAAATACGCATCGGCGAGCAGCAGCCAAATCTGTAGAATCCGGTAGAAATGGAAATAATTACTTAAATGAAGAGTATAAGTTAATTTAGTCATGCGTAATTCACCTTAATCTGTATCATCCATGGCCGCTGAGGTCCCGGACGTGGTGTGAATGAACTCAGTGAGCTGGCTGCTTCACTTAAAGCTTGTTCAACACGCGAAACTGCCGCCAAAGAAGCAGCATACACAGAATCTGTGGGCAAGTGGAGAATTTTGTGTTTATTTATTATAAATTTGTTTGTGTTTCCAATGTAAAATATTAAAAACAGAAACACAACTCGAATTTGAAAGAATTTAGTGAAAGGCAAGTAAAAGGCGATTGAATAGCCAAACAGTTAATTTATTTGTAAATAGCAGTAAGAGGTAAGTTAGGTGTAAGTGAGCACGCTTATTAACTTTTTTTCAGAATATAACAAAATTATTTTAAAGCAACTGGAGCAGAAATTTGTGTTGTGTTTTGCAAGCATAGCCGAGTTTTTTGTTAATTTATTTTTTTTTTTATAAAAAGAATGTTAAGTAACTAGTTACACTTACAATTTCAAATAAGTTGTTGCGCAAAAGTGGTCAACAGTAAAAATTATTAGATAGTTTTTGGTAACACATATTGAAGTATAGTAAATAAAAATTAGTAAAAAATGTCAACTAAGTTTTATACAAAATTATTTTATGAATTGTGATACTTTATTTAGATGTGAGAGCAATGAAGATGATACTATAGTATACTAATATATTAAGCCTACTATAAATTACTCATTTAAAAAAAAATAGTATTACATTTTTTTTTCGATTACTTTTTTCAAGACTCAAAAATTATTTTAAATTGAATTGATTAATATTCAATTGAAAACTGACTGTCATATAACAGATTAAATATTTATTTTTTAACTAGTTTTTTTCTATTTGCATAGCAATTTTGATATAATAAAAATTGGCCCATAAGGGAATTTAGACATGATTAAAAAAATTCTAAATATCCCTAGTAACAATTGACTAATATATTATTTTATTTCAAATATTTTCAATAATTAAACCGCAACACCCATGCTGCCCACAACTTACTTGAATCCTTATCAGACATTTGCGACGACATTGCTGTTGGATTCATGTGCACCACAATACTTCTGGTATCCGAATGCTTCTCCTCCTCCACACTTACTTGTCCCTCGTACAATTCACGCCAAATGGCCAGCATCTTTTGCACCGATACCAGCGATAATTCGGCGTCTTGTAAATGCAATTGCAGGTGGGCTTTTACATGCAGTAAATTCAAGTTATCTGGAAACTCGTCCAGCGCATCCTCGACAACAGCCAGCGCTTCACGTGGCCGACGCGATGCGGTCAACAATAAAGCGAATAAATGCAAACTGGGTGCATGTTCAGTGCGCAATGCTAACGCAAAGCGTACATGAATGAGCGCCTCGGCGATATTACCAAGTAATGCATACTGCAATGAAAGATAGTATTCGCATAGATGATCGTTGTCATCGTTTTGTACAGCCTTCTCTAGTGACTCCAATGCCAGCTTATTGTAGGAATCGCGTTCCGATTTCAGCGTTGTCAATATGGCTAATTGCTGGTAACCAATACCAACAAAAAGTTGACTCCGCGTTGGTCGTATGCCTGAAATAAAAGAAATGAGTTATATAAATTTAATATTTAGCTTTCAAGTATTAGTCAATGCGCACCTTTGGTTTCCCGCTTGAGCGCCAGATGCGCAAAGTCCAGACCCTGTTTGATCAACGCCAAAGACTCGTAGCACAAACGCGCTGCCAGCAAGCAGGGTAATGGATCACTTGGCGTTAATTTGATGGATTCTTGTAGCACACGTAATGCGTGCGCATGCTTGCCGGCGGCCATTAGACTTATACCATATTGTCGCCATACATGCTGTTCGCCAAAGGAAAATTTTAAAGCCTTTTCAAAGGATTCCTGCAACATATTCACCAAACCCCAACGCACGGTTGCGAGTGTAAGCAGATCATAGACTGCTGAAGCATTACCCATGGCATGTTGACGCGCCACACGAAATTCAGGACTTTGTGAGAGTACTGTGTCACGCACCGCTAGTGCTTCTGATATAAGTAGTAATAATAGTGTTTCCTCGTGATGATTACGTGGTGTAAATTGATTACGCGCTGCATATTTACGCGGTTTCCACAAACGTTTCGTTGTGGTCGAACGAAGTGCTTGCCCAGTTGGCTTTTTCGTGAAGGGTGCTGTATAAATTGTGCCCGAGACACCTCGAAGCAACACCTCGGCCAATTGACGCGCCAATGTTAAGCGCAATGACTGTGTGGTTTTCGTTTCAATGGCATTCAACATGGTGCGATAGCGTTCGATTGCCTCCTGCAATTTGCCCGCCTTAATGAGTACAATAGGCGCGCGTTGCAATGCAGTTTCGAGAATGGCGCCCATGTGTCGTTTAAGTTCCAATGGATTGGCAGGTATAGTGGTGCTTATAGTTAAGCTACTACCTCCGAATGAGGATTGTAGTCCACCCATATTACTAGTGGAATTTATTGCTAGCATGGACCCGGCATTTGCTGCGCTATTAGTCGCTGATGAATATGAAGCAATATCCTGCTCTTGGAGATATAGTAGTCCTAAGTCTGTGGCACGCTCAAAGCAAATGATCTAATGGAACAGAGTGTATTATGATTAAATAAACTTTTTTGAATTCTTAAATAATAAAATTTCAACAATTGTTTTTACAAGAAATGTATATACATATCTACCATTTCGGCTTCTTTTTCGGCCTTTTTGAATTTCGATGTGGGTTTATTGGTTTGGTTTTCCAAGCACAAACCTTTAATCGCATACGATTCAGCTAATATTTTCAGGCTACGTCTGAAATAATTTTACACATATAAACATTATTATTATAATAGATATTATAATATTTTATAACTTACAGCGTCAATTCTTTTTCAGCTAAAGTATTTAGCTCGGCTTTAACAAAGTTTTCTAAACTTTTCTCATATTCGCCACAAGCGTAGCAGAGCTTTGCCAACAGCAAATATGCATCTAAAGCTATGCCTGCTTTCTGGCCACTTTCGCCTGTTACTAGATGTAGACATCGGCGTGCATCCTGCAGACCGCTTTTGGCTTTGGCAAAATTACTTTCGATGGGAGCATTTTCTTCGAGGTAGTTTTCAAGTTTAGCCTCACCAATTAGGAAATTCGCAAGGCATTCTGAAGGAAAGCATATTTACATTCATTAAAAATTTTTTGTTAAGTCTTTTTTACTTTGTTATTATACAAAAAACCGCATTAAATATGAAAATGACACTATGCTATGAATCACTTTTTTATATTAAAAAGTTCAACTTTTTGTTTTACGTTTTTATTACTTTCTGCATTATTTTGCGGTAACTATGTATGTGCGCATATAAAGTATGGTGCGCATTGCCTCCTTTTTATGAGAATAACAGTAATAACATATGATTGCTGTTGCTATTTTTCCATTATATGTAAACTATATTGTGTTGCTGTTGTTGTGTTGAGTTTGATGACATAATAACTTTGTCATTAACACTGTTTCCCTACTTTAGGTATGTGATTTACTTACATTCATATAAACATTGTTGTTGTTAGCGTACTTTCACATACAACTAATTTAGTGAGTGTAATTAGCTTAATTAAATTATAAAATTTTCTGACACATATTCTTCACACTTACCATTATTTGGCGAACCTGTTTTGAGCTCCTCCGTCAGCTCGATAACTCGTTGCCATTTCCCTTCACTTCGGCAGCTCTCAATAAGTGCCTCAACTTTTGTTGTGTTACGCATTCTGCCGGCCATATTTTTGTATTGAAAAACAAAATTTGTTTTTTAAGAAACACTAAAGTTATTACACTAAAGTGCACATCTATGTATTGATATTATTATTTGAGTGACTGTGAATTGAAAATTTAGCGACACCTTAGATTGTTGGACTTCGCTTCCTCCTTGAACTGAGGTCTTCTTCTTCACCGTCGTTGTTGTCTATTCTGCTAGTTAGATTCACCTGTTTTCTGTCAGCTTAAACACTTTGCTCTTTACACATCCGATGTTTTTAGGCTATATTATAAATTATTGCTTTAATTTTAATCAACTTTACATTGTTTAGAATTAGTAATTTTAATTTTTATAAACTAATTTGTCCATCCCTACTGCTGCTGGCTTACGACTGCTGTCAGTGCTGTCATCTGTGCTTTTATGTTCTTGATTTTCTTAAACGGCAGCGATGTGTGAAGTAAACAATACAAGGTGAGTCTAATTTTTAATTTTTGTTTTTCATTTGAGTAATGAGTTTCAGTCTATTTGGGTATTCTCTCACATAAGATATGCTAATACAAGTACCTACCCGCTAAATAGTTTCAAAGAAATACTAAAGACGGGAATTCCCTAATCCACAAGAATGTATTGAATATCCGCTACTAATATTTTCAAGGCCAAATTTATAATAGGAATTTCCTAATCTTTAAGTATTAAAAATTCATAATTTCTTTACTCCATAATCTATATCTTAATTTTCTCCTTATTTACAATTTGTCATAATATTTCTATTATTCTATACATACGTATTTGCATATTACATACAAAAATAGATAACAAAACTCAAATTTGCGATCGAATTCATTTGAAACCGAGCGCTCTTGCAACCATTCAAAGGATTTGAAAGTGAAAAGGAATGCTGAAAAGGGTAGCAGCGAGCTGTTACGAACAAGAACACAAAGCGTGCCACCCGAACACGAGTGGCACGGTCCCTTCGTCTTTCCTCGTCGTCCCCTCGCCCACAATAATCTGGTATGAGACTCTTTTGAATCCCTGTGTGAAACGGCACTAAGTGCGCTTTTAATTGGGACTCAAAAGAGTCTCATTTTTTTCAAATTCTCCTTTGGTGTCGCTCTGTGCGTTCACACGGCCAAAAAGAGTCAAGGAACTCGAGTCTAGTTTTTCTGCATTCCTTTTCACAAAATTTTCGTAAATATTTGTGCGGTTCGACTGCGCAACACTTAGAGCGTGTTGCATATTTCATTTGTATGTTGGGATGGTGGTCCCACGTTTTGCTTGCAATGAATTAGCATGAATGTGGTAGAACAATATGCATAATACCTACCCGCTTAATAGTTTCAAAGAAATACTTAAGACGGGAGTTCCCTAATCCACCAGAATGTATTGAATATCCGCTACTAATATTTTCAAGGCCAAATTTATAACAGGAATTTCCTAATCTTTAATAATTAAAAATTCATAATTTCTTTACTCCATAATCTATATCTTAATTTTCTCCTTATTTACAATTTTTCATAATATTTCTATTATTCTTTGCATACATATTTGCATATTACATACAAAAATAGATAACAGAACTCAAATTTGCGATCGAATTCATTTGAAACCGAGCGCTCTTGCAACCATTCAAAGAATTTGAAAGTGAAAAGGAATGCTGAAAGGGGTAGCAGCGAGCTGTTACGAACAAGAACACAAAGCGTGCCACCCGAACCAGAGAACGTATATCATGATATACGTTCTCTGCCCGAACACAAGTGGCACGGTCCCTTCGTCTTTCCTCGTCGTCCCCTCGCCCACAATAAACTGGCTTGAGACTCTTTTGAGTCCCAATGTAAAAGCGCACTAAGGGACTAATTTTGTTGATATTATATTTGTCATATATTATTATATACAGAAAAATTATAAATTGTTATTTATATTTAAAGTTGTTATATTCAAAATTGTCAAGAAACTTTTATTTAAAACTAATTTAAAATTGTGAAATTTTACATATTATATTAAGGATTTATTTCTTTTTATACGCTTGTTATACACATACGTATTTAAGAGTTGATATTATATTTAGGTTTAATTTACACTTTACACTTTACTTACCAAATGGTTTACTACTCATACATATAGACATTGCATCGACGACACATGAGTTCTGGTCAGATCCAAATGCCTGATTTTCATAAAACTTTTCTCGCTTTACTTGACTTAAAATATCGAATCAAACATAGGATGTTTTAGAATGACCGCTTTTCTCTTCGCGCTTCTTTCTGACATTTAATATTTCGTGTTTTGTTTTTTCATCTTAAGCGATTAATAAATATTGTTAAATTAAACATAGACACATGTTTTAAAAATGTGTTTTGATATAAATTAAAACATAATAGAAATAAAGAAATAGGTAAAAAAATTACGACTGCTGCTTGTCAAAACATAACAAATGGAAAATGCCCAATGTATTTAGCTTCGCTTTGCTTTGCTTAGCTTTGAAAACTTTGTGTAAAGCAAAATTGGTATGTGAATCTCTTCGAAGATATTCTTAATTATTTTCCAGATTTCCAGTGATGTTTGTATAAATATGTATGTATCTATATACATATGCGAATATGTACATTATATATTTAAATATGTATTTCTTCAAAAAAATATCAAGCAGATCCTCATGTATTGTTCCCTATTATTTCTGTGACCCATGGCATGTATTCCATTAAATTTGCATAGGCCGCCGCATTTACATTTTCACCTCCACAACCGGTCAAACCGAACGAAACAATACCAAATTGCACTTGACGATATATTATTAGGGAATTGAATGTCTTAAACGGTACAGTTGCAAAAAGAGGGCCTCCAGAATCGCCCTTACAGGTATCGATTCTATTCTCACCGCCAGCACAAATGTGATCGTAGGTGATATTTACACCGGATTCAGCGAATATCTTCTGACAAACCTCACGTGGTTGATGGGGAATTTCTGCATGCTGCAAAACATTAGTGCTATAACCTTTGAAAAATATTTATGAATTAAATATTTATGTATATGTATGTATTTTAATTCGTATAAATGTATTTACTATTTTCGGTATGTCCCCAGCCGGCAATGGTATAGTATTGTATTTCATCGCTATGGTCGTAGACGAGTTGCGAAATGGGTAAACAAATGGGTCTAATATGTACTGAGATTAGAAAATAGATTATATCGTTATTTTGAAAATATTATCACATATATATTGAATCTACCTTGAATTTTAACCTCACGCTTCAGTTTTAGTAAGGCCACATCATGCGTTAAGCGTGGATTCATATATTGAGGATGTATGAAGATTTCTTCGATTTCATATTCTTCCGGTTCCGGCAAACATAGGCGTATCGAGGAGCTAAGACAGTCCACATCTGTAGAGATATCATGTTCGCCCAAGCGCACACTAAACCTAGCCGATTTTATAAATACCACATATTAATCGAAACAAATATGAAACATATTACCCGCAAAGGTAATTGTGGCTCGCAAATTACAGCAACACTTACAATTGATCTGTTTTACAATGAGCAGCCGTCAACACGAATCTGGATGTGACCAATGTACCACCACATAAAAATTGGCGACCCTCAACGATATATTTCAATAATGCCATAAATGGATATTGACCTAGTCGTACAGATTTTCCATTGGAAACACGATCCCCTGATAGTCGATAACATTTTTCTTCCTCGAGTATTGCTAAGCCTTTAGGATTTAATTGTGATATGTAATTGGTATCGGAGAAGTAGTAATTGGTTCGGTTACAGCAAACGTGGACTTGCTATAATAAAATAAAGCATATGTTTTAAGTCTTTAGGGTAGTTAATTGGCGTCTATTTAGTACGAGTATTATGTATTATGTTCGTTTTAATTAACTCGGTCGCTTATTAAAATGTACGTGAAAAAAGAAGACCTTTGTATAGAAAAGGGATGAACAGTCACACGTACACAAAAGTTTCGGTTAGAATTGCCAATTGAGCCTAAGTCAAAGGAACTTTAACCAAAATCTCTGGTGGCGCTATTGATATTTAACCACAGATTTAACCGATAGGTAGGTTGCAGGGGGTTCGAATTCCTCTATCAAAAATGTAAGAATATTTATAAAATTATTCATTCGTAGCAGGCTATGACGAATTTTCGACATTATTTTGATGAAAACGTCAACCATTCGAAATTTTTCAAAACCTTAGGACACTACATTTGCCGCTGGGGCAGCTTTGACGTAACACTTACCAATCCATTGCTGCGAATGGAATTTTGTTAGCACTATAGTAAAGAATTATATACATGTACTATGTACGTATGTACATACATATGTATGTATTGAAATTTGTTATGCCCATTGTACTTACATCATTTTGGCAAAACATTTTATTCAGATCATTCGAAGTTTGTATATTATTTTGTATTTTCCAATTTGTTAGATTAGCACATTCTGTATAAAGTAGACAATATCCTGGCGAGCCGTTTGGCGCCCGGCAGGTTACGTCTTCATTTTCTTTTTCTTCGTTACCGACAGCATGGGCCAACATTAATATTTTCAGTATTATTAACAGCGTCAAACTGTGCGAATTAAAAAGAATAAAAATAAATATACGTAATCGATTTACATATAACAAAATATCTTTAATGAGTTTATTGCACTTTGTTGTTGCTAACATAGTTCTAATTACTACTTACTAGGAAAGAGTAACCATTTGGTCCGTCATTGTGAGCTTTAAGCTAATACAACTGCTATGCTCTAGTCGCTGACACAGTTAAAAGTGAAATGAAAGAATAGAGTCTAAGCAAATAAAAAACTCAATTCAAGTCTTACTAATTCACTTCTATAGTGCTTGGTTAAGTCGCTTGAGAGTGTATGATTAAAGAAAGGGGTACTCAGTATTCCGTTTATATACCAAATACAACTAGTCACCGTGTGCTTTTTTGATAGTGGGTTCAAACCTCAGTTGAAATGAAATGGAAATTTTTAAAACTGCTCATTTTTCATAGCCTTTACTTGATGGTTCCGGCGATGACCTATCGAGGGTATTTTTTATGGGGAAACCAATATCAAAAAAATTCCTTTCGACGTCTAATATAAACTATGAAATTTTCTCGCACCCGTTAGTGTCTGTATAGTACTCAATATTTTTTCAGCTGAATTTGCGTATTTTAAAACTCTTTAATTTTACGCGGCTGATAGAAACCATCTCGTGTAAGTTGCAAAAATATATAACTCAATATGGTGCGCTTGGTATACCGATAACAGTTGAGATTTATCATACTTAAATTGTTTTCTTCATTCATTTGATTAATTACGAGGGCACTTTGATTGAATTAGAAAAAGTTTTTTTTTCGGAAAATCATCTCGACCGCCTAGAAAAAACTTAGTAAATATTAAAATAACTTCGGGCCATCAATAACAATGGTTGATAAGTGATTTTATGAATGCTTTTAGGTACATGCCAGTTCAGAAGATGCGAATGACCTATGCTTAGGTCATCCAAAAAAGTCGTCCATTCTCGATAAAGTCCACAACTGATAGAAGAAAGAAAGAAGATGAAGGTGAACGTGTGATCAAATAACATCTTCAAAAGTCTTCAACAAAACAAATTGTTGAAGGACAGGAAAAATTGATTTAGAAGAGAGAGAGTAAATATATCGAACGAAATTAAAATATCAATCGTAAAAAGTTTGAGAGAATTAAGACGCTAACACTATCGTCTAATTAGAGGTTTTGAAAAGAACACGTTACGTGATAATTAAAAAAGTGAATGTATCGAGTAAAAATATAATTTTAGGGTAAAAATTGTAATTTTCACTTTAGTTTACTCGCAAAAGCACTGACATATCAAACCAGCTTTAGTAACTAAAGTTTGAGTATATGATTCGCGTAAATGCGAACGCGCTCTTATCGCCATGTGATATGTTTATTATTTATACTTATTATTGTGATTCAGCGGGAATTTACCCTGAATAATAGCTTAGAACACGTTTTGCAGTTACCAGCAATCAAAATATTAGACTTGAGCTTTTAAAAAGTATATACAATGTATCTACATATATTGCGTTAGGGATATTCTTATTAAAAAACACAATTATTAAGGACATAATTCTTTCAATCAAATTAATTTATAAAGACATATTTGCAAATAGTGTATTAGGGTCGTTCTTATTAAAAATAAAGTAATTTTTATTATTACTTATATATATGCACTACCTACCTATATATCGCCTATATTCCATGTGGAGATGTTGTTGAACATGTTCCAGAGAGTTTGAGAGAACTGATTTTTTGCAAGTATTTTTGAGGTCGAAAATTCAAGTTCAGGAGATCCAACCGTATAATGATATTTCCAATCAGTGAATTACTCTCGCTGGTCTCATAATGCAGATAAATAAATATATCTCGCTATAATAATTGAACTGTTTTATCATGAGCGTTTGGGTATGAATGAGTATTTATGGAATTTTTATACAAAAATGTATCATTTTCCGACATTATTTTAGCTGTGACGCTACTATTATCAAAAATATAAATGTTGTAGAAGTTTGATGATAATTATGAATTGATGTAAAATGTGCATCCCTAAAATAATAGCTTGCAAATACTACCATACTACTGACTAACGTACAAAGATGCTGATTACATGTATTCGGTGAATTCATCGATGAGAATTTTTAATACAAACTAATATAACTTTGATAATTTTCAAACAATTCATTTGACATATGCCGAGCGATAAATGTGTAAGTGCATACCTGCCTTGTGGGTGTGGCGGTGAGAGATGCGCGTTAGTACTCTGCAAGAATAGAACTGCAGCTTCTGATACAACAAGGAATAGTATGCTAAATATCTCTAAACTGTATTAAAGGATATTTAATTTTGTTTGCTCACCTTGCCATCATCGAGTTCATCAAGAAAAAATATTCAAATGGCACATATTTTATTTTTTCACTAGGTATCTCATCTGGATCGATTTATTATCATAAATCGTTATAAAAATGAAATGAAATTTGACTATGACTGTCGAAGAATTTGACTTTATCAAAATGCTAAGTAAACGAACCAAATCTTTATCTTTAGTGTCATAAAATGCAAAGAAACCATTGAAAATGTAGAAAAAAATTGTGTTCAGGGGCGACGGTGTTAAAATTACGGAAATTTTACTGCAACTATCAAAAAATTCAATAATTGAATGCAGATTCTTTATGAGCTCATTTACATTATTTTTTTTTCTGTTTGGTGGAATGAAGATAAACCCAGAAAATATTCGAATTGATATATACTGTAAGCTATGTTTCTTCAAAAAATTGTAAAGAATAATATAAAAATACCCCATCCGCTACTTAACACTAGAACTACTAAAAGCTCAATATAACCAGTTTTATAAAATTCTCACAAAACATTAAGGTAAAACCTTCCTCATTATTTTTTGAATATGTCATGACTTTTTATAAATATATGTATGTATGTATGTATTCATTAACACCATATCTTTCACCATACCTAAATTTGGTAACCGGTCATTTTGACATTGAAGACATTTTCAAAAAAAACGTCAAATTTCCATATGATTACACAAAAATAATATACTCATATTCTGTGAATATTTATACTCTTGCAACACGTTGCAACAGAGAATATAAAAGTTTTGTTCACCTAACGGTTGCTTGTATCAATTAAAAATAATCGAGATATGATATGGAGATAAATGATCAGAATGATGACACAATTTGACTTCCGAGTGACTGTCTGTCTGAGATGAAACCATATAAAAAATTTGTAAATTTCATCTTATTCTTTCACATTACAGCATGCAAATCAAACATCAATGAGGTTATCAGAATAAAACTTTGCACAAATAGTGCCCTCATGCTATTTCATTTGACGTCCAAAAATCTTGCCTAAAATGGAAGAAATCAGGGCAATATTTCCTTTAGTCCCTATATACCTAATATATGGACTTTGAAACATTCCTTTGACTTTATACCTTATATATTGGTCAATCTGGAGAGGTTTTTTAATTAAATTCAGATAGCCTCTATTACTGGTAATAGTATGCCGTATTATTAAAACTAGATAGAATCTGGTCAAAATATACCCTAGCCCCCATATATCTTATATTTATAAGGATTTCAAATTTCCGATTGGCTTATTCCGTATAGATCGGTCAAAATATAAGATACCTTTGCAAAATAAAGTGAAAGTATTATATTGGGTATACTATAGTTCAATGCCGAAAATATGTGAAATTGGTCTACGAGTACCCCAACTCCCACAACTTACCGTCATCTTGATCGTTTATATATAACTCCACATCTATCTCGATTATTTTAGGAGATACATTAAAATTACCGCTGGGTGAACAAAACTATTATACTATGCTATATATATACTATAACATGTTGCTACATGTTAAGAGTATAAAAAGAAGCGAAGCAGGGCACGAGGATGTAGAAGTACATATAATGCTTTTCATTAGTCCAGAATGAAATTGGGATTTCCCATTCATTAGTTGATGTTTTTCTCAAATACCCCATATATTATATTTAATTGGTACCTTTTTTGACCATTGCAAATTAGGAAAGTATAAATTATTAGGTTACACTCTTCCTTACTTGTTTTGGTTAGACTTTATATTATATAAGACAAATAAGTTAGAAGTAGTGATTCCGAACATGTCACTACCGTTTTCAGAATAGTTTCATTGCAATTTTATATACACGAAGCAAAGAACCTGAAATAATATTATCTATAGTCTGAAAGATAGGAGCCTAATTTTTACAACAAAAATTGTGAGTGGGAATGTTTATACGATATGTTCGATAAACGAAACGAAAGAAAGAGTAACGCTTGCAAGCAAATATATCTGCGTTGATTTCAACCCTTTGGGATGCATTCATTGATAATAGTCAAAATTAAGCGGGATGTATTTTTACACAGTTCATGTCAATTAAGCCCTATAATTTTAAAACAAAATTACAATAGCATGTGATGTTCTACAACAAATTTATTATATTATTTCAAATTATATTTAACACTTTAAAAGCAGATTTCCATTTTGTCCGGTCGGTAAAAAATATGACATATTCAACGACATGGTAAGGTATGGGTGAATTTGAAAAACCTTCACTCAATAACAACTTCAAGTCTGCAGCGTATCAATCGCTCGCAACGCTTTAAATTTACGTTTACATAGTTTGTTTTAAGCTTTCCATTCTTCTACGACTATTTTTATTTTGTGTATCGTTGTTACGTGTATTTTTGGCTGTTTTGGTTTCTCTGTTATTTTTTTAGCCGCGTCCAACAGTTTGTTGTGAAATAAAGCATGCCAAAGAGCATCAGAACAAGAGAAAGAGATCCAAAAAGCTTTTTTTTTAAATTTACTTGCAAATTTGCGCATGAGTGCTGAGCATAAATTTCTCAAGGTACCAACAATTAAGGCTTGGAAGGACGTGGTTGGAGTCTAGATGGTAGTATGGTGAACTAGAGGAACAGTGTGTAGAAAGTATAAAATAATAATAGACACATTTTTGAAAAGTCAGGGATACCGTGTTTAAAATATATTGTAGTATAACTAGCCCGACATTCCCACTTTTTGCCGTTCTAATGAAGAAGATATGCACGATATCCTCGATCCGTGCCATTCTTGTATAACTTGGACCTACGTCTTAATAAAAGTTTAAGATACATTAACTTAGGGTCAAACCATTAAGCCTCTTTTAAATCTTAGAGCTGATGATCTTAATTGCTTAGTAATAACTTTTTACTTAATTTTCAAGAAAATAATATATATATGTAACCTCAACATTTACTGGTCCCTCAGAGAGATTATTCCTGATTGAGAATTTCTGCCATTCACTTGTATTTGAAATTATTGTTTAATTGAACTAGTAGACCAGCTTTTTGCAGATTTGGACCTTGTAATTCCTGCCCCTTAAACATATAAAGAAGCTATAGATCAAGTAAATTCAAAAATGCGAAATTCATTTGAACCTCTGCTCTGCTCAGTGTACCTTACAACCACCCCCCTGGGCACAGCAACATTTGTTGCATCAACATGCTGCTTCCCAAAGGTGAAAAATTCACATTTTCATTCATAGCTGCGTGGTATTTGTATTGGTTTTATTGTTATTTGCTTGAGCCCCGTTGTACACTCGACGGAGGCCCAGGAATATTTTTTAGCGCACATCACACTCATGCCAATAAAAAGACAAAAAAAAATAAATCAAAAAAGTACACTCTTCCACTCGGAAAAGCTCTCTTGGCCACTTGTACTGTTGCTTTTGCTGTGGTGAATTGCTGTTGGCCAACATAGCGCACATTTACGCCGTTACAACATCAGCCGTTAGAAGAATTTTAAAGCAAAAACCCTGCTTCAGGTCGTAAACCAAACAGTCTGCAAAGGATTCTCAAAGCAAACGTTTCAGAAGTTGAACACTGGTAACGACGCGCTAAGAAAGTGGTAATAAAAATATTTATTTAAAACAAATTAAACACAAAATTTTTTGAAAAAAAAATTAAAGGAAGCTTTTTTTTCGCGTGTAAAAAAAAAATAAATAAAAATTGTGCAAATAAATTTTTAACATTCACAAGTAATTTTTGTCTGCAATTAAGTGGTGTGAGTAAAGTTTCAGCGGAAGTGCACGCAACACACAAGCCAACGGCAAGCGGACGAAGAATTAAGCAGGAAACGCAATAACTGCTCTCCAATTCACGGGTACATTTTCAATATTTCAATATTTCTTGCGTATTTGTCTTTGTATACTACCATTTAGAGTGTTTTATTTATTTTTAACCCATAGGCATTTGGCTAAACTTTGTTGCTTGTGATTAAGGTTAACAAATATGGGTAGGGTGTGCTCTAAAGTCTTACTGCCCGATCATTTTCTTGCTATTTATTATACTTATTTTTTGGTGATAAAATAATTGAGATATTATTGAAAATTAATTTAGAAATGTATTAACAGGGTTAATCTATGACAATTATGTATCGCAGTTTTAAATATATGGTATCACAGAGTACAAGAAATATTTGCTTCCGTTGTGCGACGGGTCGTATCGTAACTTAAGAATTACCTCATTGAAAATTAACGTTTCTTATGTTCAGATCCTGTCTATAAAATATAGGATTTTGTTTGTAAGTTTTTGAAAATTGTAAATTTAAAAAGTAATAGGTTTGGCGTTATAATTCTTTTTATAAAATGTTCTTTTAAGTATTTATTTTATTAATTATTTCAAATGCACCTGATTACTGATTGACGTGATTTTATAAATTATTAATATTTTATAAACGTTTTCATAATAAAGCTCAAGGATCTAACTATGTTCGAATTGAAACTTTTAATAAAATAATAAAACGAAAAATTCTAATTGTGGCTTAATTGCATATTGTATTTAAACTTATATAATTTAGAGTAATACTATACAATTTATAGAAGTTTAGATTACTATAGTCGTGAGACCGAAAAAAATTATTTCTTCTTTCTGAGTCTAATGCTATACAAATATTTACAACTAACTGGGAAGGCAATAAAAATCTTGGAAATAATAGTTTTTAATTTTACCTTTTTCTACTTTTTTCTTTCTTAATTATTACTTTTGATAAAAATAATGTGTTCTTTTAACTTTCATGCCATTCATAAAAACTTAATATTGATTGTTTTAATGATAATATCAACTTAGCTTACAGAAAATGGCATTGGAAATTATTCGCTCTGAAATAATCGCACATTTTTGATAGCTGTTTCCTCTACACTAACAGAAACTCGAACAGTAAGTTTAACTTTGTGTTCATATTATTCATTGTAAAGTCAATTGGGCGGAAATAATTTAAATATACCGTTTTATTTTATTATTACTTTGGTTGAGTTAACTGATAGATATATTTCTTATAGACATTATTGGATAAGTGTTTAATTGATTTAAAATAATCGACACTTTCTCATAGTAATGAGACACAATTTTTTCACCAAAAAATTCATATCTGCATTCTACCTCTACTCGAAGAAATTATGAATTTTTATGTGTCAGTAAAAATGTCTAAGATTTGATGCGAATCATACTTAAATTACTGGTGGTTTTGTTGAAGTTAATAAATCCATATTTAAACACAATTAAATCCGATTCACGATATTTTCACTTTATTTGGCAACTTGATTATAGCGTTTGAAGTCCCCATCCACTGAGGAAAATTATAAAGATTCTGGGCATTCCACACACGAATATGGATCAGATATTTATCTTTGTTCTCAGAAGAATAACAGCAAACTTGAGTTAGGACTGAAGAGATTTGTGTCTGAAAATTTACTTTCTCAACTAAAACTTAAGCATCAGGAATCTCTTATTTAAATTGTCTCTACTGATTTAGACTATAACACACAAAAGTATTTTTTTTTAAAGATATTTATTTAAAAATTATAAGCTTTGAGTTAAGCCAGTATTTTCATCTGCCGACTACGAAATTGTGAAATATTTTTGTTGTAATAAATCGGAATTGGATAGCCTAAATAACTAACGCTGTTGTTGATTCGTCACTTCTACGATCGTTACGTTTGAGTTCCAGTTTTGTGTCCGAAAAATTTCTCGTGAAAGCAACAAAAATGTATCTTCTGAATTGGCTTCCATAAGAGAGTATATAGATAACTAATAAATATGATGCAACTGCTTGCTATTCGGTCGTCTATTTGATTATGTCAGTCTATATATTGTAATTGTATCAGGTTTTTGTTCTATTCGAAACTATTCATGTACGGCGCATCGTATGCACCTTACCATATGATAAAATAATATAATATGAAGCTTCTACCCAATTGCTTTTTAAATTTAATATTTTTACTGTTGAAATGTAATAATATAAACAAATCGTTCGCTTTCGTTCATAAAAGGTTTAAAGCTTTTGGCAACGCCGACCACAACATTTTTTATTGCTTCTAATTGAGACCGCAACGCAAAGAAATTTACAGATAATTGTATAAAATTGTATGTTTGTTCTTTTATTTAAATTGAAAATTAGATTTTTTCCAACCAAAGCATTGAATTTATAATTTCCTGTTTTCCATTTGTTCAATCGAAAAAAAAATTTGTTTGAATAATTTCAGTTATATGTACACATGTTTGTAAGGAACATAAGTATGTTTGCATAAATCTGATGCGGCTCATTAAACATCACAGTGGAATTTCCTGTTTGTATTCATTTACAAATAGGCGATTATTATTGCAAATTATTGTACTGTGTAAAAAGAATTTTATTAAACAGTGGAAAGATTTCTTTCCTTTCTGAGCAAAATTCATACCACTTTATAATGAATTAAGATTTTTCCATTTAGTGCTCGTATGAACTAAGCGTGAAATATCTGCGCACATACCTTTTTAATTTGAAATAGAAGTATGAATGGATTACATTTGTACGTCTGTGTACTTGAGTAATCAGTAATCAATATAATATAATGAAAGAGTAAGAAATTTTCTCCACATTTATAAATAAGGTTGTCAATGGTAATACTCAAGTAATTAAAATGTTGGTGAAAGCAAATATTATATTTACAACTTCTTTGACTATCTTCTTCAACTAGGTTAGAAAGTCTATAAATTGAAGCACTGCTACTTTAACTGCATTATATAGTACAAAAGAAATAAAAGCTATTTTTAATTATCAAACATATTTTGTATATACGTCTGTATTTAATGCATCAAACATTGGAGATTGAAGAATCGCACAAAAAACAGGTATAAATCATATAGCGGGCATAATCTAAGAGAGCTAGGAACGGTTTAACCATTTTAAGCTCAACTAAATAGATAACAAGCAAAATATTTGATTAGAAATCATAGTTGAAACGTTGAGAACAGAGAAGCGATGAAATAAAGGCGGCTGAAGATTTACAGAACTTGAATTTACTACGAATTTCAACTCTATTGATTAAGAAAGTATCACTAGTCTCTTTTATTTGGAGGATAAGATCAAATTGTACATTCTATATATAGGAGAAAAGTCATCGCAGTATATGTAAAATAGCTTACATTTTTATACATTTATAATTTTATAAAGCTGTTTTGTTAAGTCTTTTCTTCGATTTGTGCAGACAGTTTGATTCAGTTAAAAAAGAGTGTGCTTGACTTGATTCATCTGAGAGTTTAGCCTTTTAAATATTTGTTTCAATGGTGAAAAAAAAGTTTAGTAATGGTTATAACTGTTACAAACTAATTGGGAAGGAGAGGGCTGATTAATTCAGCTGCTGTGTCCACTATAATTCACAGTTGTATCAAGTGGAATAAAATTAACACTAGAACTACTAGCTATTTAAATATACCTATTTCTACCAAAACCAGTCAAAGTGACTTAAAAGTGAAGCTTTGTTAATGCAGTCTCGAGTTTCGGTTGGTTTGTATAACAGTTTCTTGAAATGCCGAAAAAGTCAAGTATGAATACACCGCGTTACGATATAGGATCTGCGAAATCTCTGTATAAGTTTCATCACCCGCGATTACAGAGTCTCATAGTTCTACAGCAGTTTGGGAATCTAAGAATTTTCATATCCAACATTCTCCCATTTTATTATTACAAAGTGTAGAAAGTTACTTTCACTTTTACTATAATAATTATTGTTGATCATCAGTAAACAAGAGAGCTCTGTCAATGATGGAGAAAAGCAGAGGTTATTCGATTAACTTTACATCCACAAGTAACTATATAACATTTTTAAGTTATGAATAAAATTTGGGAGTTTTTCGTCAAAAAAGTAGAAAATATACACGGCAAAATTCTAAGAAAAATAAAACATTTTGTATAAGGAGAGAAAGAGAAATAGAGGAGGAATTATTTCATTTCTTGTTCATCAAATTGCTTTGATGACTTCTTGGAAACCAAAGCATCAGCCATAACACAAACCACTGGATAATACTGTTCACAACAGGATAATAAATTAGACTGCAGTGCCAAATAAATTTTTAACTTAATAGACGACCTAAATTTATTACATCTTCACTGTATAAAATGTGTAAGCTATTACGTTTCGAATTGTTTATAAATATGACTTCAAAATACATGAAGTTCGAAAAGCTCAAAATCAAAAGAAATAAGAAAATTTAATAAATTTCTTATATTTAGCAAGGTTAAATAGTTTGCTTTGAAATATCTGGCATATCTAGCAAATTTGGGTGGAATGTGAGAATATTACGAAACATTAAATTGTTTTCTTGTTGTAATAATTCAGTTCAAAATAATAATTTTAACACCAATTACTTACACTTATCACAGTTTATGTTACATATGCATATAAACATTATTTCGTAAAAAAATTTATTAAAATATACTCACAGTTGAAATATGCCAAATATGTTCGAAGTGTTAATTAAAAGGCGATAAAAACTTGCAGTCAGCTGCTTTACTCTCTGGTAACGGGAAATTCCATCACAACGGCGATGACTGCGTTGCCTGTCGAGTTGGTGATAAATAGTAGTATTTGGCATGTGAGTGCGTAAATAATTATGCGCGTGAGTGTGCTTGGGGGTATTTATAAAATTTATAAGGCATTCATGACGTTTAATTGGCGATTGAAGGAATTTGTGTACTTACTCACTAAAGGGAGAAAAGTTCGTAATGAGTATGGAAAAACTATTTGTTTAAATAATCTATAGTTAATATATCTATCAGTTATTGACGCCAAATATCTCTCCGTAAAACAACGGTGCCATAATAGTTTATGAATTTTCTTATTTTTTGAAGCGAAAAAGTTTTTAAAAAATCCTCTTCTCTCTCCCCCTTAATAGATGAGTACTTAGAACCAGATTATACCATACATTAGAGAAGAAGCTTAACCAAAGCTTTAGCAATTTGGTTATTGAATAGGGTAACAACTACTTGCATAGCCAATTTCTCCTACACATAATAGGTGAATGTTATAAGTATATGAACTCAGTTAAGAAGATGATAAAAGTATATATCTTTCTCATTGTATCCATAAGTTCTATTTATATCTTAATTAATTTGTTATCAAAGCGCGTGATTTAAAAAAATTATATATTGTGTTTACTATTTTTTTTTGTATTTTACCGTAGGTACTCATGCCAAAAATAAGGAGATCATATATAATTATTAGTGGCCAATATGATAAAACTTTTAAACATTTTCATAGTTGGTTACATGTTTCTTGAGAAGGTAGGACAGTTAAAGCAATATTGTAACATGTCTATCCTCTCAAGATCATATATATAATATATACTCACCGCCAAAACAAGTTATGGTAAATCACTTGGCTTGAGAAAGGTTTGGACTGATAGCATTAACTTTAGACATTATTCAAGTATACTCAAGAACATGTTTTCTAGGAATTTTATGAGGACAACTCACGCACTGATCGACATATTCGCATGAAGCTTGCTATTGTAGAATGACGAAAATCATTATATGTATTTTAGGTACCGATTTTACACAATTTCTGAATTAAATTTTGCTAAAATATTTTACATATTCACTGAAATAAGTATGTCCTAACAAGTCATATATGACTGAGTTTCATTCAGACAACTCACCAATATATAAGGTATAAAGTAAACAGAATGTTTGAAAATCCTATTATGAGTTATATGAACGTAAGGGAAAGTATTGGCTGGACTTTAGCCATTATAGACATAGGCATACACTGTTACTAGAAAGTCATTATCTCTAAAATTCACTAAAATACGAGTAACTTACTTATCGAATAATAAATGAGTTATCGAGCCAAACGGAAGTTCGAAAATCTTTATATCAGGTATATGGGGCTAGGGGAAGT